TGTACGGTGTGTATCCACATGGAAAGTACTGTACCTTGTTTTAGACTCCACCTTGAGTGCACTAGACTAGACTAGACTGCATTTCATATAAATAATGTGGTCTAAATGCAGAATGAAAAATGACATACATTGTGTAATTTATTAAATAATAATGAAATGATGTGCTGTATTACTTGGATTGAAGAAACTAATATAACACATTATAGAGGAACAGAGTGTCTGAATACAGTAACAGAGAATGTGACACAAGGTCTTACTAAATGTGCCACTACTTTGATGGGATATGGGGGGTCAGGGTAATTAAACTCTTAAAACGCTTAAAGAACCTGGAAATGCAGGGCCAGTAATTATCATCTTTGGTGTTTAAAGAGCCATATTTCTCCAACAGCAAGCCTAGGGTCACCATAATGGGACATTTAGTGAGTGATTCATCTTTGAGGCAGGTGTGCAAATGACTTTAATTTAGCAGTAAGCAAGTATGGAGATTGCATCAAGCTCACAACTCGGGTGGATGTGACTGACCAGACGTTCCCTTGGTGTAAACAACTACTTTAGTGCAGGAAACCTTTTTCATAATGCCAAATGTTTGTTGAATTCTTGCAGAAGTGTGTCCCTTAGATAATGTAAATGAAACATCTAATTTTACATTATCTAAGCGACGCACTTCATTGAGGCTGGTTCATGTGTGTACCTTGTATATAAACAAAGTCATTAAAATTAGAGTAGATGCCATTCTTCTTATGATGTAACGATCATAGCGTAGATGCCAATCTTTTACCATTAGAGGAAAATGTGTCAGATTAGTGGTAAACAAATTTGAGTACTTCAATGTAATATTCTAAATGTCCATTCACACCAAGGATGATAACAATAAGGATACACTCTAAGAAAAAAAGGTACAAAAGCTGTCACTGGGGCCGTACCTTTTCAAAAGGTACACTTTTGTGCCCAAAGGCTGCATATTGGTACCTTAGTGGTACATATAAGTACCTAAAATGTACATATTAACACCTCAAATGGACATATTAGCACCTGAAATGTACATATTAGCACCTGAAATGTACATATTAGTAACTAAAATGTACATACTGCCACCTAAAATGTACATATTACCTCCTAAAATGGACATATTCGCCCATGAAATGGACATATTAGCACCTAAAATGCATATATTACCACCTAAAATGTACATATTACCACCTAAAATGGACATATTAGCTCATGAAATGGACATATTAGCACCTGAAATGTACATATTAACACCTAAAATGTACGTATTAGTAACTAAAATGTACATACTACCACCTAAAATGTACATATTACCACCTAAAATGGACATATTAGCTCATGAAATTGACATTTTAGCACCTAAAATGTACATATTAACGCTTAAAATGTACATATTAGTACCTAAAATGTACATATTACCACCTAAAATGGACATATCAGCACCTAAAATGTACATATCAACACTCAAAATGTACATATTAACACTTAAAATGTACTTATTAGCACCTCAAATGTACATATTAGCACCTGAAATGGACAAAAGTTTACCTTTTGAAAAGGTACAGCCCCAGTGACAGCTTTTGTACCTTTTTTTCTGAGAGTGTAAAGTTTAAATAATCATTCTAATTATATGAGAATAGTAAAGTCAACTCCACAACTATTGAAAACAGCACAGAGGAACAATATCGTTGATTTTTTTCCAGCTGATGAATGATTGTATTATAACTGTTATAGTAAACACAATGTTAGCATGGGTTAGAGGGGAGTTTAGTTGTTACAGTTACCTTGATAGTTATCGTTATAGTGTAAACAAGCCTTAAGTCAGTAATATATGGTTACATTCTTGCAAACCAATATATTTATCATTACTAACTTCAGAACCCAAACAAATGTGACCAAACCCCTTATTAGCGACTCAAACCATTGGAATGTCATCTGGTTCATCTGGTGGGGGTTATTCTGAAGCCTTGGGTTGCTATGGTAACAGAGGAGAGTTCAGGGTAATGGATGAAAAGTGATGAATTAAAGTGTTTCTCTCATCACCTCAAACTGCAGATGAAAAGGACTCGCAAAGCTCTACTGGACTGATTTAGAAAAACAATCCTCTCTTAAATGCAACTATTACTAAATTGTTTCAGAACTAAAAAGTGCCTCACATGTCACCATTGCAAAAAAAAAAAAAGTATTTGCAAAGCATCAGCTTTAGAGATTGAAGTGGAAAATTAAAGTCAAGTCACATTTATTTATATATGCCTAGCGCTTTTTACAATACAGATTGTATCAAAGCAGCTTCACAACATGAAAATAATACAACACAGATCAGTAATATTGTTGAATATTACATGTCCCCAAGCAAGCCAAAAGCCAAGCCAATCCTTTCCTATGAGGTTTAGGTTCTGTGGTGATAATAGGAATACATATTATGTTGCCCTGATTAGGAAACCAATCAAACGAAAAAAATATTTTGCCACCTAAAAGTTAAAGATTTTTTGTGTCATGTACCTCATGTGTATTTTCCCTTAAATTAAATGTAAAATGCATGTGTTATATTTTTCTAATATCTGAACTATACTTTATTAATGAAGTATGATATATAAACTGAAGTTTCAATAGCCTAAAATAAATGCATGTTCAAAAAACAGCATAGGAGACAAGAAGACAAAGGCAGGCGGCAGACAAGATGGAAACCAGAAAACAGGCAAAGCAAAGTGTCTGCATTTCTGTCCAGCACCAAAGCTTGTCTCTAATGTCGCATGCTTCTTTTCTTCTTTTTTTAACACTCCAGCATTTCAGTTTGTTTGTTGTTTTACCCACAGAGCAATGCTCTCTGCAGCGAGCTTTCTCAGAATAAATCAATAAATGTGTTCCGGAGAGCAATATTGTGAGTGCTAATATAATGACTACAAGCTCAGAAGAGATAAATACACTCACAAAATATATGCTTTTAAATGGAAGAAATTGCTTCTAAAACATCTGCTTTTAAAACATCCATCCATCTATCTATCTAATGAACACTCGGCAGATTACAGGAAAAGTGCCAAGGGAACAAGTTCCAGTAAATGTAAACAAAAACTGTCTGGCTTGTGAGAACAGTAAAGCTTCAATGTTGTTTATATGAGTCTCAGCCACACACACTCACACTGACCTGCTGTATGTGTGACGAATCAAGAGTCTGACAAATCTGTTGTGACGTCTTGCTCATCTCGAATCCATCTGTTTTGTTGTTTTTTTTGTGTGTTCTGTGTGTGTCTGTTGCTTAATGGATGGACCTGGAGAATTGGGGGTGGATGACTTTGGCTTGAACCAGTAAGCAACCTCCCAAACCCCCCTAGCAACCACTCGCACCTAGGCAACTCACACACACACACACACACACAGTTTAACATCTTTGTAGGGACTCTCCTGGTTTTATACTGTGCAAACTTTATATTATATTCCCTAACCCTAAACCTACCTCTAAAAACAATCCTTTTAGAAAACATTCAGCATTTTTAATGTTCCAAAAAACAATATGTATATACAATTCTGTAATTTATAAGCTGCTTTCCTCAGGGGCACATTAAATAAGACATAAGTGTTGTCATTATCTTTTGAGAATTGCATAATGTACAGTTTTATGAAATATCTCTTTATTTTTTCACCTATTCTCTCTTAAAGATTGCATTCTGGATTGGTTCTCTGGACTCCAGATGGTGTCTCACTCAAGAGGTGCATGTCTACATGAAACTGGCAATAAAGCCTGGCAAAGGGGCAGAACACCATCAGTAGGATTATCTCTCATCTGCGACAAAGCCACAGTGCTCAAACGAACCATGATTGTGATGGTTGAATGATGGTTGGATTTTTTTCAGGATGATAAAATAATATCAATAACACATTAAATTAAAATTTAAAATAATGTCTTCACATTTCCCATTCTTCACCGATTACAATTTAAAAATATTATGGGGTTTTGCTCTTTTTCATTGTATTTCCTTGTGAAATAGTTGTATGATTAATCATTATGTTCACCTGTCGCATGTTCTCCCTCATTCTCTGTCAGTTCTCATTCATTTATGTGTTGCTGATATCGAAAATTTTGTCATTAAAGACATTATATTGATTCTTCTTTGTCTTGACATGTTCATGCACAACCGACTCCTGACAATTATCTTTTCAATGTTGAAATATGTTCTAATATCCAAGACAACGTTGCAGTAATGGGTGGGTTCCCTCTCACCTGATTTTGATTGAATAATTGTAGCCACACATTTGTTGGTCCTCATGAGGGAAAAAAGTTAATGCTTTTTTTTTTTTAATTTTTAAAAATAAAAAAGCGCCCAGCCAATCATATATATATATATATATATATATATATATATATACACACACTCTTAGAAGAAAAGGTTCTATCAGTGCTACGGATTTGGAACCGCTAAGGTTCTATACAGTCTTAAAAAAGGGTTCCTCTGGGTTCTATATAGAACCCTGGGGTTCCATACTTGGCCAATAGAACCTTTTACCAAAAAAAAAATGGTTCTATATAGAACCATTTTGGAGTTCCATATATGAAGCGGGGGATGGAACCATTTCTGGTTCTAAACAGAACCATTTCTTCTAAGAGTGTATACACACACACACGCACACACACGCACACACACACACACACACACATATATATATATATATATATAGTATATATAAACATACAGTATATATACACACATATATATATATATATATATATATATATATATATATATATATATATATATATATATATATATATATATATAAAATTAAGCTATATCCTCATAGGAAAGGAAATTATATTTAAAATAAGTTAGTAAATAAATAGGTTGTTATTGTCTTAAAATAAGCTGTAAAACAGACGAACCTGTTTAGGATCCCAGCTAACAAGGAACATTCTCAGAAGAACAGGCTCATTCTGGCATCGTTTTGCCATGTGCAGTTTCACCCTCTAGTTCTCCGCTTATTCAGCCATGCTGAGGTTATTATATAAGTCATCAAGTGTAGCCTATATGTCAGGAATCCGAATACAGCAGCAGGTTGACGTAGCAAAGCTCTCCCCCGACTCATTCACTCCCCTCACACAAGGAGCTCAAGTTTGAGCCTCTATCAGATCCCTTCAGAGAGAGCTCACCTGTAGACGGAAGCTGGACAGAGGCTTTAATTCTTAGGCTCCTGTTACTCACTCGTGATGGACTTTAGTTTTTATTAATCGCGTGTCGATTCTTGCACAAACGGAGCTTATATTGTAGTTTTGCATCCACCCCTGTTATCGAGAACTTCAAATCGTCAAGCGCAACTTCCCTTCCCCTCAGCGACCCTGAAGCGATGGAGCCGTCAGTCATCCCCGGTGGCGACATGTCCGACCTTTACTCCATTAACCCGTTTAATATTACTTTCCCGGACGACGTTATGGGTTTCGTTCCTGACGGAAGGAACTATACCGAACCAAACCCGATAAAGAGCCCCGCGGGAATCATCATTGCAATTTCCATCACTGCTCTATATTCCGTTATCTGCGTGGTGGGACTCCTGGGAAACATCCTAGTGATGTACGGGGTGGTAAGGTAAGCAAGGCAAAATATAAATACTAACTATCCATCTATCTATCTATCTATCCATCCATCTATGCTTCCATCCATCCATCCATCCATCCATCTATCTATCTATCTATCTATCTATCTATCTATCTATCTATCTATCTATCTATCTATCTATCTATCTATCTATCTATCTATCTATCCTGATAAACGTTTAATCCTGAGTATTTGTTTAATAAATGGAAGATAGCCTACACACACTGACTGACAAACACTGCAAGATAAAACAAGAACTGTAGCTAAATATTATTGTTATTGAGATAAATCCATTGTGCCAACTTGCCCCTAGTCTGATTTTTACATTGTGTGTTGGATTGAGCATATTAAATTCAGATATGTAAAGCAGCAAGTGCCCATTCCTTACCATTTTCAAAATCACATATGCAGGTCATGCAATACTTATTTTCTTTCATGTCTTATTAGTAATCTTGGTGTTTTTCATAGGCTTTTTCGTGAACAAATTGTAGGGAGGTTTAACTGGTGTTTGACTGGTAGTTGCATGCAGATTTATGCTTATGGATAATTACCTTTTGGTCTTCTAATTTATGAGGTTTCATGTCTAGAGAAAGGATGCTCGAGAGACAGGAAATGACCTCATTTTGGGATCATCTGATGGAAATAGCATTATGGGCACAACCGTGGATATCTCAAGAGACGGCTCATCTCATATTTTGTGCACCCTGTTGCATTTCCAGAGTGTGGCATTTAGATGCGATGAATATCACTCTGAGAGTTAATATATCCTCCCTGTGAGTCGAAGAGGTGGTGCTCAAATGACATTTCTAATCGTACCCTTTTAAAATAAAGATCTGTCATCGCTGTGCCATGGTTCACAATTTTTTAATTGGTTCTCATTCTCTTATAAATATCTCTTTTTTTGTGTGCAATGCAGAATATCTGTTTAATTTATCAGCTTTTAGTTGACAACCACAGCAAGAGTCTTCCAAGTCTGGAAAATGACAGATCTGCACCAGCTGTGCATTTCCAAATGACTGAAATTGTTCTGTTCTCTTGGTACTGAGATGCTTCTACACACAGACAGCTTTAATCAACATACTAATTGAGTGCTAATTCTACTCTGCTTCAGAGTAAAGTAGAGCTTAGCTTTAACACAAGGTTCTTTAACTTTGGATAATTAGAAAATTATAAGTGTGGTTTACAAAGATTAACCCTGTTACCGACATCTCAATCGATGTTAAGATTAAATTTGAGACTAAATGAAATAGTGAGCAGGAAGTAAAGCTAATGATAAATTAAAGTATTTTTTAAATCGTCAGTGACGAACAAATTATAAATATCTTTTTTTTTTTTTTGGGCGATCTCTGGCGAGTTCATTTTTCATTTGAGACTAAATGAAACAGTGAGGAGGAAGTAAAGTAGTTAAGCAGGAAGTAAAGCTGATGATAAAGTAAAGTATATTTTTAAATGGTCAGTGATGAACAAAATATTAATATCCTATTTTTGGGCGATCTCTGGCGAGTTCAAAGCATCTAAAGGGGTCATGAACTGGCTTTTTAAATTTTATTATATTGTTACGGTGAACTTATGATGTTCGCTTTGGTTTTTGCATTCAAAAACATCAAAATGAATAAGCTATTTTGTACCCCAGTTTTGAGCCTAGCTGAAAAACTCACGGTTTTTATGGGCGTCTCCCACACTGTAAAAAAATATTTTCAAGATTTGTTATCACAACATTTTTTCTTTTGTCAGATCAACTTAAATCATTTATTTAGTTCAGATAACTTATTATTTTGAGTTTCTGATGATTAAATTAATCTCCTTCATTGTATTAACTCACTTTTTCCAGTTCAATGAACTTAAAGCAATGAATTTTAAGGCAACCAGATTACTTACTTTTTTAAGTTAAACCATAAATATTTTTTTACAGTGTGTGTGGGGGAAACTTTTTTTCATTCCATTCGAAGGATTTTTTTTTCATTCCAATTCTGTCAATTTCTCTTCCTCTATAATTTCAACAGCTTCTGTGGTGTAGCAAATTCAGTTTACAAGAGCCTTAAATCATTTATAACGCTGCTTCAAAATGTTCTCAAGATTCGAAGCCTCTCCTCTCACACAAGCACTGTAAAAAAAAGTCTAAATAAATAAATCATTGAGCAGTAGTGGCCACTAGCAACGATGAGTGGACGAAATGTGCTGAAATTGCAGCTGTAAAAATTCAATCTTCAAGGCATTATTTTATGAGCAAAGCTGAACAAAGGACATGATAGATTGTGGGGGTAGGAAGAGATGAACAAAATGTCCTCGTTTTGTAATGAACGAAAAAATATGGGGTCCAGCCAAGTTATACCCTAATACATGTGTCGTCAGAAGATTGTGGCTGATAATGATGTTGAGTTGAAGCTCAAGGCTCCTGTCAGTGGTCTGTCTGACGGTCTTTTCATCACCTGTCACTAAGAGCTCTGCAAACGAGGAGCCCTGCGTCTGATTATTGAGCTGAAGAAAGCCTGTTAGAATTTTAAAACAACATCAACATCATGCGAGTCTGTCTGGTGAAAGTACATCATCACTACACTGGTTGGAATATACGGTACGGGTGGCTTTGTGATGGAAAGAGTCTCGACTGTAATTGGTGTTCATTTTATATATATCTGAAATTGCCTTGTGTTGTTGTTCTCCCATATAGTGGCCATTAACTACTATCTACATCCACAACATTTTTTTTTTTTCAAATACCATTTTCTAAGACGAGGAGAAACATTTAAATTATTATTATTATTTTGATAGACACAAAATGGGTGACTTTTTTAAGGAACATTGAGTGGTGAGATTTAATAATAAATAAATAAAAAACTCCACATTGCAAGTGCAATCCTATAACAGGTGAGCATTTCAAGCATGTTTAATACATCAGAAAAGTGCTGGTTATGTGATTAAGAGATCAAAATGTGTTAGTCATGCAATACAATAAAGGGGGTTTGAGGTCATAACAGTATTATGCAAGGAACAGCATGAAAATAAGTATAATAGTGTTTATTTAATCTGAAAACCACAGTAAATTGAATGTATAGTTATGTGTTTGGAGTTTTGCATGTAGTAGAGGCACATTTTTCCTATGCTGTCCAAACCTGTCCAAAACTATTTTATTCAGTGAATGTTTTGGAAGAATGTGCATAATTCTCTTTACAATCTTACCAAAACCAGAACTCACAAAATGAATTAAAATGGACTGATGTGCTGTGCCTGGTTATATAAAGGAGCAAGTACATTCTTAAGAATTTGTTCCTAAAAAAAATTTAATCAATTAATCATTAAAAAAAAAGAAGAAAGAAATTCCAAATTTGGAACAACCTGGACTCAGGTGAGAAAAATCACAGATTTGTTTGAGTAATATAGCATTGTAAGAGCCAAAATATTGTACATCTGTAAGTATATATTCTAAGATATGTCATTTTTGTTGGTTAGATATTTTGTAGAAATAATTCTATGAATTGAGGCACAGATATATGCATGTGCTTACATGCAGTTAAGAGATGCAATGTCTACATTTAACATATTTGTGCACGCTGTGTGGGGTGACTCACAGAAGCACTGTCGCCGCATGTTTCCCTCTTCAGTGCAGTTTGTGTCAGTTCCAGTCCAAACACAACATCCTGCTCATGACGTCAAAATCATCCACACTAGCAGTGTTTGTTATCACTCTCAGAAAAAAAAGGTACAAAAGCTGTTACTGGGGCTGTACCTTTTCAAAAGGTACACTTTTGTACCCAAAGGCTGCATACTGGTACCTTAGTGGTACATATTAGCACCTAAAATGTACATATTGACACCTAAAATGTACATATTAGCACCTAAAATGTACATATTAACACCTAAAATGTACATATTAACACCTAAAATGTACATATTGGTACCTTAGTGGTACATATTAGCACCTAAAATGTACATATTAGCACCTAAAATGTACATATTAGCACCTAAAATGTACATATTAACACCTAAAATGTGCATATTAGTACCTAAAATGTACATATTAACACCTAAAATGTACATATTGGTACCTTAGTGGTACATATTAGCACCTAAAATGTACATATTAGCACTTAAAATGTACATATTAACACTTAAAATATATACTTAAAATGTACATATTATCACCTAAAATGTACATATTAGCACTTAAAATATACATATACTTAAAATGTACATATTAGCACCTAAAATGTACATATTAACACTTAAAATATACATATACTTAAAATGTACATATTAGCACCTTAAATGTACATATTAGCAACTAAAATGGACAAAAGTTTACCTTTTGAAAAGGTACAGCCCCAGTGACAGCTTTTGTACCTTTTTTTCTGAGAGTGTAGTTGTCTCTAATGCAGCTCAATCATGTGACACATTTAAAGAGATAAGCATATGATATTGGTAATGTGTCATTAACCACAAAATGTTTTTATAGTCACTTGTGCCTGGAATTCAGTCCGACTAACTCTCCCCGGCCCAAGATCACTTAAACTGGGACCAGGTGGTGAGCCTGCAAGCGCAACTGGGGATGAGCTGCCTATCATGGGGGGAACTATTACCCATGTTTTGTGCACATAGATCGGATGCTTAAAACATACTCTTTTTGTGCTTTATTGGGGTCGCTGTTAAAACAGGGCTTGTTTGTAGTGTGTGGTATACCCCAGTGTGCCCGCTTGACTAAAGACAAAGTTCTGCAGCTTTTCCGTGACCCCTCCTCAGAACACAGGTCATCTAAATCTCTTCATCCCACGGGTGTTTAGCTCAGCTGAATGTCGGACATGTCAAGAGACGAATGCTTTCTTGACCGTGGATTAACATGCTTGGCTGCTGGGTTGGCACAAAGTGAGGACAATTTCAGCTGTTGTTAGGGATTCAAAGTGATGGCTAACTGAAGAGCACGTGCAGTTTTAGTGACTTGAAAAGGATAATAAAAAACATAATGAACGCAAGATAATCGCTACGTCATCTCATGTCTTTTTCTCAAATATACTCTTATCCTTCCAGACACCTTCACTATTGTAAATGCTTTAGATCTCACGGAGCAGTGAGAAGGCTTGTGTTGATAACTACAGATGAATTTAGAAAGAAAGTGGAGAATGCAAGAGCCTGAACTGCCAATTGCTCTGGGAACAGGCATGAGATGAGATGGGGTTTTTTCTACAGCTCTCTTCGGACTAAATGTGATTCAGCTGCCAATTACCTGGGGAAATGAAGATCCAGTCGCACGCCTTGAGGATGACATAAATTTATTTAAATGAGTGTGTTTCCCCTTTTTTTCTGAAGCACATTTCAAAGTAATCTTGCGTTCTTGGGCTAAAGGAGAAATTAATTCAGTCCTGATACTGCACTTGTGTGGCCATTAACTTGAACATGTCAATTAACACACACACATATGATAAATAACAAAAAAGCTCTGCAATTACATTCTAAAATATTATGTGTGACTAAAATCTCCAGTGATTTGAGGTTAAGATTCATGTCAACCAGAGTAATATATTCCTTGAAAATGCTCCTCTCCTTTGGGAAATCACATCACTCCTGCATTGCACAAAAACGCCCCCATCCACAACCTGTGGTCTTGCATTGCAATTTACTGATCGGCAAGATATGAGATTCACACTTGCATAACTATTATATAATACCAGCTGTGTTTATATTAACAACATAAGCTGTTATGTTCTGCCTCATTGAACTGTACCAGGCAAGATGAAGTTTTAACACAAGATGCAAAATCTCTTCACTGTTTATTTTTTTAGTCACAAGTATATCTATTTGTACGGAGGCGTATTGCATTCACTTGAAGAAAAAAAATCTACTCTGTTTTTCTGAATTAACGAGTTAATTTTTCATGAGAAAAAAATTTTTTTGCTCTGTTTTTCTGAATTAATGAGTTAATTTTTAATGGAATTTTTTTTTTTTGCTCTGTTTTTCTGAATTAATGAGTTAATTCAGAAAAACAGCAAAAATAAATGTTCTCATGAAAAACTAACTCATTAATTCAGAAAAACAGAGCAAATTTTTTTTTCTCATGAAAAATTAACTCATTAATTCAGAAAAACAGAGCAACAACTTTTTTTCTCATGAAAAATTAACTCATTAATTCAGAAAAACAGAGCAAAAAAAATTTTTCTCATGAAAAATTAACTCATTAATTCAGAAAAACAGAGCAAAAAAATGTTTTCTCATGAAAAATTAACTCATTAATTCAGAAAAACAGAGCAAAAAAAATTTTTCTCATGAAAAATTAACTCGTTAATTCAGAAAAACAGAGCAAAAAAAATTTTCTCATGAAAAATTAACTCATTAATTCAGAAAAACAGAGCAAATTTTTTTTCTCATGAAAAATTAACTCGTTAATTCAGAAAAACAGAGTAGATTTTTTTTCTTCAAGTGAATGCAATACGCCTCCGTATATTTGGAATCGAACAAATATAAGATTTAAGAGGACAGTAACCCAGGAATTGCTGCAAATGATCTTGTGAAAGCTGGAAAGTGTCATGTTCTTTTACTTGGTAATATTTTGTAATTGCACTGTTTGAATTTTTTTGATTATAATTTGAGTTGTTATTGCTTTGTATAATTTTATGTTGTGAATATTTTAAAGAGGACCCCAGGAAGATTGGCTGCCATTAAATGGGCCACTAATGGGGATCCTAATAAAAATGAATAAATGAATGAATGTTAATAAGATGCAATTTAGGAGACATTTACATAAATTTGCCCAGTTTGCAGATGCTTTCACTTATTTAAAAGTTAATATTAAGATAAGAGTAATACAACAAAATAATTAACCACAAGGACATACAAAGTGCTGTGATGTATGGATGATGGATGGAAAACATCCAACAGACAATTTGCAATACAACCAAATGTACAATACCCACTGAGCTGCTGTGCTGCGCTATTTCAAGTTTTATTTCTATGAATTCATAAAATGTAAGCAATGAAATGTCTTACAGCTACAGGTCTGGATTTCAAAGTGACCAAAACCTGTTGATACATTTTTACAGAGTATAACATTTCTAAGTGAATTACAAAAATAACAGAAAAGACTTTACTTCAAGATTCACATTTTACTGTGTAAAATTTATCCGCTTTGGAGAGCGTATTCCAAAAGCTACGTTTTCACTGACCTAAAATGCCGTCTCAGAGAAATATATACGTTTTCAAACGAAGATGTATTAGTAGACTATCACCTTTAGCCACTTTACACTGTAAAAAACAATAAGTAAAATGTACTTAATTTTTTCAAGGCAAGTTTTGCACTGATATTTTTGAGTAAATTTCACACATATAATGAAGTAAACTATACTTAACTAAGTTAAGTGAAAGTAACTTAAGAAATTAAGTAATTTTTATTTGTGTGTGTGTGTATAGATAATTTTTTAATTATTTTTATTTATTGTTTTTTTTATTTATGTTTAGTTTTTTATGTGAAAAAAAGAAAAGTGTTAATAATTTGTAATCTATTGTGTTGTAATATCATTTGAATTAATAAAAAAGTTATAGTAAAAGATTAAGTAATATCTATTCTATTTAATTGAATCTTTCTTAATACAACATTTCACTTAAACAATATAACATTGAATTAGACCACACTGTTTAAGTAATTAATCCTTGCAGTGAGTCCCATCATGTCTTCACTTTTGATTTAGCATGATGTGAATGCAGACCTCAATACTTGGTAGACAATACACAATGACGGTAACATTTGATCGATCGTTTTTGTGTTTGAATGTGTCATTTTAAGTAGAAAATGAACTCCAAATCACAAAATGGAAAATTACTAATCCTAACAACAAAAGTAATGATAAAATAGTGTAAATACAGCTGGAAAACAGTGAAAAATCAACCTCATTAATATTTCATGGCCCAGTGCATGATGGGAACAGCAGTATCAGAAAAGTTGAGTCATTTTACTTAATTTTATAATGTTGATATTTACGCTTTCACGATTGAATTGAGTTCTACTATAGAATTGAATAGTAGTTCTACAAGATTGAATTGAATTTATTTAAATTCTTGCCTGAACTAACCTTTTTCATGTAAATTATATTGTTTTTTTACTTCACCACAAAATCATTTTTATCAGTGTACATAAACCACATAGACAAAAAGTATAGGAGCACATTGTCAAGCCATAACAAACTGCTCTGTCGATTCTGTCTCTGCAGATACACCAAGCTGAAAACTGCCACCAACATCTACATCTTCAATTTGGCCCTGGCAGACGCACTGGCCACTAGTACACTTCCATTCCAGAGCGCCAAGTATCTAATGAACACCTGGCCCTTTGGTGAGCTTCTATGTAAAGTTGTCATAGCCATTGACTACTATAACATGTTTACCAGTATCTTCACCCTCACCATGATGAGTGTGGACCGGTACATTGCCGTGTGCCACCCTGTGAGGGCACTGGAGTTTCGTACCCCGGTCAAGGCCAAAATCATCAACGTGTGCATCTGGATTCTCTCGTCTGCTGTAGGAGTACCAATCATGGTCATGGCAGTTACCAAAGTCACAAACCAAGGTGAGCATATATATATATATATATATATCACTCTTAGAATAAAGGGTTCTGTATATGTACTGTAGCATAGGGTTCTTTACTCGACTCCAAAGGACATTTTATGCTAAAAAAAGGTTCATTAATGACAAGAAAGAACACTTTTGGCACAAAGGTTCTTTAAAGGCTACATATATTACATTATTCTGCAACATGTTGTAGTTGTAATTAAGTTATTGTTTATTAAACTGTTGTAGTAACTTAAAGGACTAGTTGACCCAAAAATGAAAATTCTGTCAGTATTCACTCACCCTCATGTCGTTCCAACCCCGTAAGACCTTCGTTCATCTTCACAACACAAATTAAGATATTTAAGATATTAAGATCGCTCCATAGGCTTCTTGAGGGAATGACTCTTGCTGGCCTCAAAGTCATTAAAGACATCGTTAAAATAGTCCAAGTGACTACAGCGGCTCAATCTTAACTTTATCAAACGACGAGAACACTTTTTGTTGCCAAAAAACAACAAAAATAACGACTTTATTTCAACTATTCACTTCCTTCTCCATGAGCCTGTAGTCAGTTAACGTAGTGTGATTGCGTAAAGCTACGTCACACGAAGGCTCACTATTGGCCGACGCTGGTCATGTGTGTGTGATGCGTGTGACGTACAATAACAGAAGCTTACGCTATTAAACTAGTAACCTGACTCGCGCAGAGGGAGAAATAAACCAATAGTTGAAATAAAGTCGTTATTTTTGTTGTTTTTGCGCACAAAAATGTTCTTGTCGTTTGATAAACTTAAGATTGAGTCACTTGGACTATTTTAACGACTTTTCGATGCCAGCGAGAGTCATTCCCTCAAGAAGCCTATGGAGCGATCTTAATATCTTAAATATCTTAATTTGTGTTCCGAAGATGAACGAAGGTCTTACGGGGTTGGAACAACATGAGAGAGTAAATACTGAACGAATTTTCATTTTTGGGTGAACTAGCCCTTTAATATCACATTTTAATCATGCAAATTTTTGGAGGATAAACTACATTTGATTAAATTTTTTAACCACCATATCTTGAATTTTGTGATCATTCACAAAATTGCATTTTAGGGGTTTCAAATACGTAGCGCTTTAGAACCTTTAAAGGTTCTATATAGAACCTTTTCTTCTAAGAGTTCTTCTGTATATATGGATGATGTTCACCAATCAAAGTTCACCTTCTTTCTAGATCTGATTAAAACATGTATCCCATAACAGGTGCAACGGTCTGCATGCTGAAGTTCCCTGATCCAGACTGGTACTGGGACACAGTGACAAAGATTTGTGTGTTTATCTTCGCATTTGTGGTGCCAGTGCTAGTTATCACAATCTGCTATGGTCTGATGATCCTACGTTTGAAAAGTGTCCGGATTCTCTCAGGCTCAAAGGAGAAGGACAGAAACATGCGTCGAATCACTCGAATGGTTTTGGTGGTGGTGGCTGCCTTCATTATCTGCTGGACACCTATCCACATCTTCATCATCGTCAAAACACTTGTAGACATCAACCAAAAGAACCCCTTTGTGATTGCCAGCTGGCACCTGTGTATCGCACTTGGCTATACCAACAGCAGCCTCAATCCGGTCCTCTATGCTTTCTTGGATGAGAATTTCAAGAGATGTTTCCGAGACTTCTGCCCACCCTTCCGAACCCGAGCTGCCCAGAACAGTCTCAACCGAGCAAGAAATGCCACAAGGGAGCCGGTTTCGGTTTGCGCACCTTCGGAAGCTGGAAAGACGCCAGTATGACTAGGCCTGGAGAGGATCCCACCACGGGGGTCCCAGTCCAGAAGAGTTCAGCAGGATCTTCAATCTGAGGTCACCCAGATCTCCACTACTGAATTCTAGGAACAGAACTCAACAATATCTCAAGATTCGTGCATTGAGAATGTAACGAGAGACTGAGTTAAGCAGCTCTTCTCCTGCACCATTACTTTGTATTATGGATTGGCCCCAGTATTATTTGGAATAAATAACTAGCATACACAAGAGCCTCTTCTGAGCCCAATGTTATGGCCAACATCAGGATAATCAGACTTTCAAGGTCTGGTGGACCTTCAGGGTTCGGAAATCTCACTGGTACTGAGAACACAACCCGAAACAACAGATAAATAAACTCTCCTTGCTGACACATCAAGAAATGAAACCTGAAACCTACAAAAGCAAACAGTGGAGATGATGTCCAGTTGGAGGACACTGGCTGAAAAGGACATTTTCAGAGATATTGGACTGTAGAAAAATAAAACAAACATTGATGTAAAACTCTCCTCAAATGTTGATGAACCCCCAGTGAAACTCTGAAGAAATAATGGGAAAATATGTCTTGCCCTAGAGAGCAGAATGAAGAAAGCATATGGTATTATAGCGATATAAATGGACTTAATATTGAAGGATTTATTAGCCATTATCGCCTGCATCCACTCTCAAACCATCTTCAGACAAACTTATTTTCAATTCCTCAGTCTTATGTATTCAGTGAAGGGGTGTACATGGCAAATCTCTGCAGTTTCCTCCTGGACATTTCCAATAAAGTTGACTTCAACAAAGAGTAAACTAAACTAAAGAAACGCTCTAAATTACCATTTAGACTGTGTTAAATGTCATGCCAAAAACTGCAGTGAAATATTTATTGTGTCCACAAAGCAAGATCAAAATTGAGTTCCTGATGTACATTAAGTATCTGGAACATCATATAGCCCTTGGACCCAATCATTTTCGAATGTCTTGATTTTGATGTGTGATGAATGCAATGAGCAATTTGATCCGTGTTATGGATAATATTCCTTTAGAAGCTGAAAGTGCTTTTTATACTGTGCTTTTACTGTCAAGTCAAGTCAAAAGTGTAGTAAAGAGATTGTGCGTAAATTATTACATTCTGTTATTTTGGATCTTTTATTGTTGTTAGCAGTTCATTTTTGTCCATAAAAAAATCAAGAAATAGCTCTGCCATTTTACTTGAACATATCTCATAAATGCTTGGTGAATTTGAATCGTAGTAATTTAGTTTGAAATTGATTAATTTTGATGACTGGTGTGTTTCTGAAGCCTTGCCTCTGGATATTTTCTAGTTGTGCTAGCCTTGATATTTGTTTTACTCTGATGATTGTAATTTTCTTGATAAGTGATGTTAGTGAAATTGTTGATTTTTTTGTGTTTGTGTTGCATTTTTAAGATTTTTTTTTTAATAAAAGATTGTAAACATTTGCAGGATAATCTGTTTTGTACATAATTTGGTTTTAAACTGCCAGTAGACCTGCTCAGGCATTAATTCGTAGGTTTGTAGTTAACATTACCAGAAAAGATGGGCATGTTTGGTTAAACCTTTTTTTTTTTTTTTTTCTCGGAGTCATATCTCATAAATCATTGTGTTTCAAGTTGATATGTATGTATCAAAATCCAATGCTAAATTTCTTCTTTTTGGACTACAAACTGAACAGGGGCGCGTTTCCCGTACAACGACGTAGTTCGCTGCTTCACTTCAGAGAAATCAACTAGCTAGTCGCGACTGTTTCCCGAAACCCACTGTCGCAAAGTATCGTTCAATCACGTTGGTTTCGCACGTGGTGGAGTAAGAACTACTTTTATTGAAACTGAGATCCAGTTAACGCTAGATTTGTTTTATATAAATTACAGACATGTCATCTGAGGACTATTTCTAATTGTTCTCAGTTGTTCTGCTTTATTACCAGACTCAATATTTGGCTCGTTCTTACATAGTAGAGCACGTTCGCACATGCGCACTCTTCAAAATCGGTACTTTAAATCTAAAAGACGTAAATTGCATTTATTCTAAACAAGACATCGGTCGTACTGAATGTCAGCTTGCTTATTTTGCTCAAGATCAGGATTTATTACGTCCAAATGTGATGCAATATAGAAACGATGCCTCTAACCACAGGTCGAGAGCTGTCGTTCAAACTACACAACTTTGCGACGCTGTTTGCGAATGTTCGTTGGAACGATGGTTTCGGGAAACACCGACTCGTTGAACTGCTGATAACGACGGAAATTGCGACCATAGTTGGCTAACGATGCTTTCGGGAAACGCACCCCTGATCAATACTCTCACCATAAAACCATAAAGACAGCATAATCTGTATTGAACGAGTAATGAAATGGTGATGTATTTGAAATGATACTTGACATCATGGGGCTTCTCACTCTTGAAATAGTTAACCCTGGGTCATTCTAAATCCAGGGTAAACTGAAGGCTGGGTTATCTTGCTTAACGTTATTCATAATTTAGGGTTAGGGTTAGGGTTAGGAGTTAACAGTTGAAGAGTTCAGATGCAAAAGCCTCTAAATGCCATTTGAAATTTTCTTCTTTAATGATGATTTTTATCAAACTTGTACATTTAAGTTCAGTAATTTCACTTAAATAACAATTAATAGGTAATTATCATTGCCATTTAAGTGAAATCACTGAACTTGATAAAAATGATCATTCTAGAAGAAAATTTCAAATGGTACTTAGAGGTTTTTGCATCTGAACTCTTCAGTTAATCATAGGTATTATTAAACTGAGGTTTGAGACTGTACATTCATAAACCCTGGTTTAATGTCCTTACTGTATATGCATTGTCAGTCTTATTGAAATGCAGCACACATTGTGCATCCTCATGCTTCGCCAATTGTACTGTCAAGATTTATAAAAATATATATATAAATATAAAAAAAATATATAAAATATATATAAATATAAAAAATATATATAAATTATATATAAATATAAAAAAATATATAAATTATATATATATATAAATTTGTCTCTTCTTCACTCCAATTGATGTATTTTCTGTCACTACTTGGTCTTTTTCCCCATACAACACACGACCCAAGATTAGATGTTGTTTTCTAAGCATCATGTAACATTGTTACATCGGTTCACACAGTAGATGTTTGGCATGTCAGTGCTGGTTAACAGTGCAAACGCGACACTGGAGGGTGCTAAACCCACTTCTAAGTGTGAAACATTACTTTACCCAGGGTTTGGAACAATAACCCAGGGTTAAGCAGAGTGAAAAGCCCTAATTTGTCTTTGCACAATGCCAGTTAATACAATAATCAGTCTTATTTCTGAGTTTATTCAATTTTCGATAAGATATGTTTAAGCTTTTGTGGAACGATCTGCAGTTGTTGTTGTTTTTATTTTTTTATCATTATTATTGATTATTGATCAAAAGATAGCAAAGAGTCTGCTTCCTGTTATCTTCGCTGGTTGTTTTTGTGGCAGAACAGAAGGTATATTTATGTTGTTTGGATATCTGATGCGGTTCTCAGTGTATAATTGCGTCAGTCTGTGGTATAATTGTAGAATTCCTCATTAGCTTGCACAACTGCTTATACTGTAAATCATTGAAAAGATAATATTCAGTTGAATAAAAGCATATGCTAATAATTGATAATTGGTAACTCTTTCAACAAGGCTGCCTGTAATTTAAAAAACTGTAAATTGCCCGCCTGCTCTGTAATTTCCTTTTGTTGTAGTTGTTGCATGCATGATCAAATCAAAACATTTCAAAATGACACTGATAAAAGACAGGATTGTTTCTTTGCAACAGTTGAAGTGCTTCTTTTTTAATTGCGAGGGCTACTTTCTTGTATCACTTTAAAGTGGTAGCTACCTTATTAATTAGGCCTTTTCTCTAATTGCTGTACACAAAGGATTTAGCTGAATGAATTCAAGAGACACATTACATTATCTTTAAACAACAAGTCTCTTGACAAAACCACCACAGATACAATAACATCAGCATCATCCAAATTAACAGAGCACATGTTGGAAATAGTAAGCAAAATGTACTCTCTATATCAAAGTGTAAGAGGTCATTCATTCTGGGAATAGCCATATCATTATATTGAATGACAAAGCCAATCTAACAGCAGAAATCACAGTGAAGATAAATGACCTCAACATGCCTTGCTAAATGAATTAGCAACATGCAGTTATGTTCATAATCCAGAAACACTGATCTGATGTTTTTTAGGATTATTTAAATAGAACAGCATTTATTTAAAATATTATTTTGTAACAGTATACACAAATTTTGGGATTAATTTTTTCTTTCTTTTTTTTTAAAGGATGTGTTAAGTGATAGTAACGACTTCTATTTTGAATAAAAGCTGTTCTTCTTAACTTTGTATTCATCAGGAAATCCTGAAAATATCACAGTTTAAAAAATATATATATATTTCCAACTGATCATACCCAAGTATCAAATTATCATATTGGAGTGATTTCTGAAGGACTGGATTAATGATGCTGAAAATAAAGGTTTGATCAAAGAAATAAATTATATTTTAAATTATATTAAAATACAAAATCATAATTTAAAATGTAATATTATTTCAAAATATTACTGTTGTTTCTGTATTTTTGATCAAATAAATGCAAGCTTCTTTCAAAAATAGTAAAAATAATAATGTGTTCAAACTTTTGATCGGTATTTTATGTTTATATAGCACTCACTGTAAAAAAATATTGTTGGTTTAACTTAAAAAAAGTAAGTAACCTGGGTTGCCTTAAATTTTTAAGTTGATTGAACTGGAAAAAGTGAGTTAATACAATGAAGGAGATTAATTTAATCATTAGCAACTCAAAATAATAAGTTATCTCAACTAAATAAATTATGTAAGTTGATTTGACAAAAGACATAGAGGAATTACAATAAAACCGATTCAAGATTCAAACCTTTGAATCTCCTCCTCATTAGTCAATGGGGGAGTGTCTTTCGTCTCCCTTGATGTGAATCACATTAATATTCATGATCATCAACACTCCCACTCATACAGCAGCTCTGACACAAAAACTGAATCGTTATATTGTTGTTTGTGAAAGAATGATTTTCACATCATTTTGAAAATTCTAGCCTATAAAGAATGGTAACTCAAAGCTTGTGGGCAACTATTCAGTGTGTGTTATATGGCCTTTTTGCAGTGACAATTTCCCCCCCAAAACTTACCAACCATGCATAATATTGTTTTTATAAAATGCAAATATGTACATCAATTTTGCTCACATATTATTGTAGTAAAACTACGAGTCTGTGCTGAATACAGCAAAATTACATGTTGGCCAATGGTACGTATGTTGCTGAAATAAGCACAAATGTCAAGGGCATTTCAGAACATCTCAAGGGCCCCAAACACACTTCATTTTTAACCCTATCTCACGGGCCCCTCGCGGTTTGTTATTTCTCCCGGGAAACTCCCGTTATTTGCATGAATAATCCGACCAATAAAAAATATTGATGGTTTAACTTAAAAAAGTAAGTAACCTGGTTGCCTTAAAATTTTAAGTTGATTGAACTGGAAAAAGTGAGTTAATACAATGAAGGAGATTAATTTAACCATCAGAAACTCAAAATTATATGTTATCTGAACTAAATAAATTATTTAAGTTGATTTGACAAAAGAAAAAATGTTGTGATTACTACAATGTAAAAAAATATTGTTGGTTTAACTTAAAAAAGTAAGTAACCTGGTTGCCTTAAAATTTTAAGTTGATTGAACTGGAAAAAGTGAGTTAATACAATGAAGTAGATTAATTTAACCATCAGAAACTCAAAATAATAAGTTATCTCAACTAAATAAATTATTATAAAGTTGATTTGACAAAAGAAAATATGTTGTGATAACAAATCTTGAAAATATTTTTTACAGTGTGTCTAATGTTGCCAGATCTTGTATTAAAGGGATAGTTCACTTTGAAATTAATTTTTGATATGTTTTATCTTACCTCAAGGGCATCATGTAGGTGTCTTTGTTTCCACAGTATTTTCAATTTTGATATTTTTCAGTCAAACCGTTGTTGTGCAGGATTTTTCCACCACTGCATACATTACATGGGCTGTTGTTTGCATAGGAAGGACATCCCACAAATGTGAACAAAGTGTTGGCTACATTAGTTGGCTTCTAATGTGTGCAGCAGATAATTGGGATTCACACATGAAGTTGTTTCTTCATCTCAGTCGTCCTCATTATAACTCAACTCTCTGAGTCTTCTTGCTGCATATGTAGAAAAGCTATACTTCTGAATCAGCTAATGATCTGGTGTTGATAGCTGTCTCTTCAAGGGTTAGACAATCCTTAATATAGCTGTAAAATATCAGACTAAGGCATAAACTTAGAGAGAAAACAGAACTTCTTGAAAAGGAAATTGTTAGTTTTTACTCAACTTTGAGTAGACAAGAACTAATGCTTTA